ACCTCTTTAGAAAAAAATAATTCTGGAATTTCGGAGGGAAGTTTCCAAACCTCGACAGAAAATTCCAGTTCCGAGGTAAATTGCCAAACCTCTTTAGAAAAAATTAATTCTGGAATTTCGGAGGGAAGTTTCCAAACCTCTTCAGAAAATTCCAGTTCCGAGGGAAATGACCAAACCTCTTTAGAAAAAATTAATTCTGGAATTTCGGAGGGAAGTTTCCAAACCTCGTCAGAAAATTCCAGCCCCGTCGATTGCAAGGAGGGAGGTTACCAAACCTCACTACGAAAATCGACACCTTATCCTAAAAAGGAAAGAAGTTCTTTATCCTCTCTAGACTTTACATCTCCAAAGAATGGATTATTTACAAGAAAAAACGATAATAATAAACTAGAAACCTCCTATGTTATAATAAAAGACCTCGTCCAAGAGGCTCAAGAATATAATTCGAACATTAGAAAAACCGAAAATTCTCGGAAAATTAATCACAAGAATAAGCCGTCTTCGAAACTTTCTACGTCCTTATGTAATAAATCTCAAGAAATAATAGATGAATTTATGAGAAAACATCAATCTAAACACGAGATTGACATTACAACTTCTGAGCCGCATCATTGCTTGGTACTTTCCGAGGAAACTAAGGAAGATCGACTTTCTAAAATTGTCGACTTATTGCGATTAGAGCATTTAAATGAAAAAGAACAGGGAAACGTAACAAAATTAATAGCAAATAGCCAAGATCGTTTCCACATTCCCGGAGAAAATTTAACCGCAACTCACGTTTTGCAACATCAGATAACGACTACCGATGATCACCCGATAAATACTCGGCAATATAGATTTCCGCAAGTACATAAAGAAGAAATAAACAAGCAGGTAGAGGACCTCCTACTGGGAGGCATAGTGAAACACTCGCAGTCGCCTTACAATACGCCCATATGGATCGTGCCTAAGAAAGACGATTCTAAAGGAAATAAACGCTGGAGGATGGTTCTCGATTTTCGAGCCTTAAACGAAAAAACTATTGGAGACGCTTACCCACTACCTAATATTGTTGATATACTAGATCAGTTAGGGGGAGCGCAATATTTTTCCATATGCGATCTCGCATCCGGATTTCATCAAATAAAAATGGATCCTGCCGACAGTCATAAAACCGCCTTTACAACTCCTTTCGGACATTACGAATTCGATAGAATGCCCTTCGGCTTAAAAAACGCTCCGGCTACTTTTCAACGCTTAATGGATTTAGTATTGACAGGACTACAAGGCGAAGAATTATTTGTATATATGGATGACATAGTTATTTATGCCAAGTCATTAGAAGAACATGAAAGAAAATACAACGCTCTAATAGAACGTCTTCGAAGAGCTAATTTAAAACTACAGCCTGACAAGTGCGAGTTTCTGAAATCGGAAGTAACATATTTAGGACACGTAATTAGCAAAGATGGAGTAAAACCAGATCCAAAAAAATTAGAAGCAGTAAAATTATTTCCGAGACCGAAAACGCCGAAAAACATTAAACAATTTCTAGGACTTGCCGGATACTACAGACGTTTTATATCCAATTTCTCTAAATTTGCTAAACCGCTAACGTCCTTATTAAAAAACAACACAAATTTCGAATGGACATCCGAACAAGAGGAATCATTTCAAATCTTGAAACAAAAGTTATGCGAAGAACCTGTATTGCAATATCCCGATTTTTCGAAACCATTCATATTGATTACAGATGCTTCAGGAATAGCCATAGGCGGAATCCTATCACAAGGAGAAATAAACAGAGACCGACCGATCGCATACGCATCACGTACTCTAACAGATAACGAAGTAAAGTATGACACTTATAAAAAAGAAGCCCTAGCCATAGTTTATTGCGTAAAGCATTTTAGACCATACTTATACGGAAGAAAATTTACTTTAGTTACTGATCATAAACCTTTAACGTGGTTCAAGAATGCACAAGACGCAAACATGCGAATACTACGCTGGAGACTGAAACTAGCAGAGTACGATTATGATGTTGTATACAAAGCTGGGAAAACTAATGTAAATGCAGACGCATTATCACGGAATCCTGTAAATCTCATGGAAGCAAAATGTAATATTATAAAAGATAAGCCGCTGAATCCTAATAATTCGCAAGATGCAGAGGAAATTTCTAGGATGTTAGAAGAATCCGATGATGAGGGAGAAAGCGAAGACGAAGATTTTCATTTATATCTTTCAGACACTGAAACAGATGAACCGTTTTATGACCATACTAATGCCACATCATCTACCGAAGAAAATGAACCACCACTACCTAAACGCGATCGAATACAAACCCGAAGCCAAACTATAAATCAAAAGGAACAAAGTAAAAATGTTCAAGATATCGAAAGAAGAACAGACCCGCCAGATAAGGACGAAGATAAAGAGGAAGAAGAAGAAGAAGAAAAAGACGAAAAAATCATCAATCTAAATTTACGGAAAGCCAGGACAAAATTTATCGAAAACAAAAATAATGTCATAGAAAGTCGCGAATTATTACGAAAAGATAACGTAATGTATTTTGTTGACACCAACGGAAAACCTTTAGATTCAGGCTCACAAAAACTCTTCGAGCGAAATAGCCTTCCAAGTCTTGGGTCCCTTGCTCTAGGCAAACCTAAGGCCATAAAATATAAAAACTACTACCACATAGCTCTACCTATTATAGAAGGACAACAGGAGGGTCCTACAATGACCTTAAACCAAATATCAACCACCGTAAATAACCTACACTATATCATTCAAGATTTAAAATTAGAAACAATTAGTATTGCAAAAACGGAAACAATTAATAACCATGGAATAATATTAAATCACAACTTCTGTCAACATTCGTTAATATACTCGTTAAATTGATTATATGTAATGGATTAGTCAAATATCCACCTAAAGATTTACGAACTGTCATTATTGGAGAGATGCACTGCTTACCCACAGGAGGACACCGTGGCGTTACAAAAACTTACAACAGAATAAAACATAACTATTATTGGGAGAACTTGAAAGCCGACGTTCAAAGATACATCCAGCAATGTTTACAATGTCAACTCAAAAAACTCGTTAGAGTCAAAACTAAACAGCCTATGATAATTACAGACACACCAGGATCTTCCTTCGACAAGGTCGCTATGGATATCGTAGGACCATTACCGAAAACCGAGAGAGGCAACGAATATATTTTAACGCTACAGGATCAATTAACGAAATATTGTATGGGAATACCGCTACCGAATCAGATTTCCGAGACCATCGCGGAAGCTTTCGTAGATCGATTCATTTGTGTGCTCGGAGCACCAAAAGCAATATTAACGGATCAAGGACGAAACTTTATTAGCGAATTACTAAAAAGGATTGCTAAACTATTCAAAATTTGCAAGTTTCGAACAACAGCTTTCCACCCTCAATCAAACGGATTGTAACGGTACGGCCTATCCCGTGCGCCACGGACTGGCTCGCCGGTGCCAAGATTCGGGAGTAGGTAGGAGAGTCAAGCGTACGAATCCTCTTTTAATAATCAATTTATTGGTAAATGTCTTATGCTAAGCCTTATCCTACGCGGTGATTATAACTACCTTATATTACGCGGGCTTAGCCTACGACGGTGCGCTAGTACTTATACTTCTAACTTAACCTACGGACGCTTACGATTAACTTAGCCTAGACGGTCGGTCGCGGTTTCGTTCGGCGAGCGTGTCGCGATTGCGGCGTGCGGCGGTGCGCGGAGGCCGAGTGCCGGGCAAACCCAGGCGGCGGAGAGGTCAGCCCCGTCTCCGTCGGCGTGCACGGTCAGGAAGCCGAGTGCCGGGCAAACCCAGGCTGCGGAGAGGTCAGACCCGTCTCCGTCGGCGTGCGAGGTCAGGAAGCCGAGTGCCGGGCAAACCCAGGCGGCGGAGAGGTCAAACCCGTCTCCGTCGGCGTGCACGGTCAGGAGGCCGAATGCCGGGCAAACCCAGGCGGCGGAGAGGTCACACCCGTCTCCGTCGGCAGGAACGGTCAGGAAGCCGAATGCCGGGCAAACCCAGGCGGCGGAGAGGTCACACCCGTCTCCGTCGGCAGGAACGGTCAGGAAGCCGAATGCCGGGCAAACCCAGGCGGCGGAGAGGTCACACCCGTCTCCGTCGGCAGGAACGGTCAGGAAGCCGAATGCCGGGCAAACCCAGGCGGCGGAGAGGTCACACCCGTCTCCGTCGGCAGGAACGGTCAGGAGTCAAGATGTCTCGGTTATTCCCTGAGATTCAGAGCTGGTCGGAAGCTGGAAAGGAATGAGGTGCCGGTCTGTCGTGCGAGCCGGCTTTTATACGGCTCGAGAGCCCCCCATGCTCGCGTGCGTCGAGGAGGGAGTAGGACGGTGGGGAAACATAGGCGGGATCGCAGGTGGGCGCCATAGGCGTCGAGTAAGGAATTTACTCGAGAACTTACTATAATTGACGTCTTTATTTTATAAGTTTTGGCACGATAAACAAATGAACATGAACGAACTAGAGAACAACTTAATATTACTATTTACAAGAATTATTTACAGTGACGACAGCATCGTCACACCACCCCGCGCTTAGGGAGGCCCGTCGAGGCGCCGGGCCGCTCGGGGGCGACCGTCGGGGTGAAACCTGATCACCCATCGGCCCGACGCGGTGCGGACCTTATACCTCCGCCCGATGATGGCCGATCCGGCGGGGACCTCGACCACGGTCCCGTCGCCCAGGCGGACGGGAATGGTCCCGGTGATAGGTGGCCTGGCGGTCTGGGGTCGGGCGGTGGCCGGTCGGGTGGCGGGGGGTCCGGCGAGCGTGGATGGTCCGGCGGTGGCAGGCCGGGCGGTGGGTGATCCGACGGTCGCAGGTCGGGTAATTGCTGGGCCGGTGGTCGTGGGCCGGGTAGTCGGCGGGCCGGGTTTCGCAGGCCGGGCGGTAGGCGGTCCGACGGTCGTGGGCCGGGCAGTAGGCGGCCCGGTGTTTGTTGGCCGGGTCTTAGGAGCCCTGGTGGAGGTGTGCGCTCCGGTGGTCGGTGGCCTGGCTGCCGAAGTCGTGGTGTTCCTGGCAGCTGGTGGACGGCTGGTAGCCGACCGGGGGTCGGCTAGAGCGGCGATTCTTCCGCGGCGGCGTGGCTTGATCTCCGGCGGCGTCGTCAGGATGATTGCCTTCCGCCGGTTTGCCTGGTCGGACCGCTGGATGGATGTCCCGGGCCGCGGCGGTCGTCGGGATCGTCCCGGGCTCGGGACCGCTGGAGGCGGCTTGGCAGGCGTTGGCGGCGTCGTGGTCGGCGTGGTAGTAGGCCCGCTTGTCTCGGACTCCGAGCTTGAGCTTATGACTCCGAAGAGTTCGTCTATCTCGCGTCGGTCCATGGTGACTATTAATCCGCACGCGGTTGCACGGCCTTATATACTCGTCGCACTGCTCCTGGAGGGGATTCATTCGCGGAATTTCCGATGGCTCGGGGTGTCCCGTGGTTCCAGTGGAAGTAGCGGAGTCCGGTTGCAGGTCGGGTAGTCGCGGTGCCGGCGGTCGTAGGCCGGGCAGTAGCTGGACCGGCGGTCGTAGGTCGGGCAGTAGCCGGACCGGCGGTCGTAGGCCGGACAGTAGCTGGACCGGCGGTCGTAGGCCGGACAGTAGCTGGACCGGCGGTCGTAGGTCGGACAGTAGCTGGACCGGCGGTCGTAGGTCGGACAGTAGCTGGGCCGGCGGTCGTAGGTCGGATAGTAACTGGGCCGGCGGTCGTAGGCCGGGCAGTAGCTGGACCGGCGGTCGTAGGTCGGACAGTAGCTGGACCGGTGGTCGTAGGTCGGGCAATAGGCGGTCCGCCATCCGCAGGTCGGGCAGTAGAGGGCCCGTGGTTCTAAGGGAAACTCCCTAGCAACGGCGTTCGTCCGAACGTTCCAAGGTGGCGGTACTTCGGCGTGGTCGGTGGCTTTTTGCCGGATTATGCGTCATCCTCGTCCACCCGAGGACTTTCTGGTATGTTCGGTTGTGGTTTCAGGTCCTGTACGTGGATATGCCGATGCCATTTCCCGTGTTCGTCGCGTAGGTCCACGATGACTGGGGATATTATCCTGCGTACTTCCATGGGCCCCGCAAATCGAGGGGCGAGTTTGGCATTAAACGCGTCGTCGCGGCTGGACAGGGGGCGTTCCCGCTTCCACACCTTGTCGCCCACCCGAGGGCGCCAGTCGCGTCGCCTCATGTTATAATGGCGCTCCTGTTTTTGGAAGGCTCGGGCGAGGTGCACCCTGGCGACCTCATAGGCCTCTTCCAGGCGTTGTCGATGCGACTCCGAGGAAGTCGGGTTCGGCGTTGGTTGTCGCTCGGCGGGATGGGGAGGTGCCAATTCGCGGCCGTGGATCAGAAAGGCTGGGGTGTATCCGGTGGCCTCGTGTCGAGCGGTGTTTACCGCGAACTGCAACGCGTCAATGTGCTCGTCCCAATCCCGGTGCCGGTCGCCCACGTATTGACTAATCATGGTCTTGATGGTCCGATTCGCCCTCTCCACCGGGTTGCAATGCGGCGCGTAGACAGGTGACGTGCGGTGCTGGATCCCGAACGATGCCAGCAAGGTACGGAACTGACGGGAGGTGAACTGAGTCCCGTTGTCCGAGATGAGTTGGCCCGGGCATCCATGCCGGTAGATGATGCGGCGGGTCACCTCTTTCGCCAGTGCCGTGGCGGTGGCGCGTCGCAGGGGAACCATCTCGACCCATTTGCTGAACCGGTCCTGGGCGGTCAGGAGCCAGACATGTCCACGGACCGAGCGCGGCAGAGGACCGACTAGATCCACTGAGACTTGCTGCCACGGAGCGGTTACTGGGGTAGCGTGTAGATTCCCGGCTGGTCGTTGCTGCGGCACTTTGTGGGCCAGGCAGCTCGGACAGCTCCGAACGTACCGGGCTGTCTCCCGGAACATCCCCGGCCAGTGGTACAACCGGGCGAGTCGGGCGATGGTCTTAGCCACTCCTAGATGCCCTGCGGTTGGGTCGTCGTGTAGCCGACGCAGGATGTCGAGCCGCTGTTCCCGGGGGACGCATTGTTTCCATTGCTCGGTGGAGGGTACCTCGCTAAAATCCAGGTCGTGTAGCATATGTCGAAACAGTTGGCCACCACGTATTTCGTAGTCGGGGTGCTCGTCTGGTCGGCTCTTTACTTCTCTGAGGAGGCGTTGGTACCATGGACACGCTATCCGGTGTTGCATTGCGTTGAGCTGCGGCTCCCGGGAGAGGGCATCGGCTACTTGATTTTGTCCTCCTCTTCTATAGTGTATGGTGAAGTCGAACTGTTGCAGTTCGAAGAGCCACCGCCCCAGGCGTCCGGACGGGTTTTCCAAACGTTGCAGCCACTTGAGAGACTGGTGGTCGGTTACGACGGTGAATCGATACCCCTCCAGGTAGTCTCGCATTCGCCGGATTCCCCATACCACGGCGAGACATTCCAACTCAGTCGCACTGTAGTTTCGCTCGGCGCCGTTGAGCGTTCGGCTGGCGTATGCGATTACTCGTTCCCCCTCCGTCTGGTGCTGCGTTAGCACGGCTCCTAGCCCATGCGAGCTGGCATCGGTTTGTAGCAGGAACGGTTTCTGAAAGTCCGGGCAGGCCAGAACCGGTGTGGAGGTCAATGCTGCCTTCAGTTGTTGAAAGGCTGCGTCTTCGGGGGTCCCCCATGTCCAGCCAGCTCGTTTTTTGGTCAGCGCGGTAAGCGGCGCCGCTAGTGTTGAAAAGTTCGGGATGAACCTCCGATACCACGAGGCCATTCCTAAAAATTGCCGGACCTTGCGCACGGTGGTGGGAATTGGCCACCCGGTGATGGCGCTCACCTTGTCTGGATCCGTGTGTATCCCTTGTCGATCAATCACATGCCCTAGGTAGCGGAGGCTCGGACGGCAGAAGTGGCACTTATCCGGGTTTAAGCGTAGCTTTGCTTCGCGTAGTCGCCGGAATACCTCTCTCAAGTGTTGCAGGTGTTCGCTGAACGTCTTGCTGGCGATTATTATGTCGTCCAAGTATACCAGGACGTTAGGTTCGAGATCGGGGCCGATCACGGTATCTAGCAACCGCTGGAAGGTTGCCGGGGCCGAGTGCAACCCGAAAGGCATGACCGTAAATTGGTACAAACCCTTCCCTGGTACGGTGAAGGCGGTTGCAGGTCGACTCCCTTGGTTCAGTGGTATCTGCCAGTAACCACTCTTTAGATCCAAGGTGGTCAGGTATTTCGCCCCGCGTAACTTGTCGAGCGTAGCCGTGATGTGCGGCAAGGGATAGGCGTCTTTATCTGACATTGCATTCAGCCTGCGGAAATCGATGCAGAATCTATACTGCCCATCTTTCTTTCGAACAATGACTACCGGTGAGCTCCAGGCGCTGCTCGAGGGCTCGATGACGCCTTCAGCGAGCATTCGGTCGACCTCCTCATTGATGACGGCCTGCATCGCCGGGTTTCGAGGTCGGTACCGCTGTTTGATGGGCGGTCCCGGCTTTAGCCGGATGCGATGTTCGGTTCGGTCGGTTCGTCCCGTGATTACTTCGAATAATGGTAATTCGGCGGCTAGAAAGTCCCGGAGTTGTGCTTCTTCGTTTGCTTCGTTGTTTGGTCCGACGGTGATCGTGTTGGTCCGGGAAACCGTCCCGGTCTGGTTCAACGGTGGTGGCGGCAAAGTGAATCCCATCTTCGCCCATAGGTCGGTACCAATCAGCACAGCGCTAGCTAGCCCAGGGAGTATGCAGAAGTCGTGCCAATAGGTTCTCCCATGCCATCGGAGAGGCAGGCGCAATACCCCAGTGACCCCTACCCGTGTGTTATCGGCCAGGAGGACGTAGTCTCCTCGGTTCTGGGCTAGTCGGGGTATTCCGGGGAATAGTCGTGCAGTCTCTTCCTGTATGCACGAGACTTCAGATCCGGGATCTATGAGAGCCGCAAACGGTTGTCGCCGGATGTGTACTTGGAGGTGCGGGCGCGGACGGTACTCTATTCGAGGCTGGGCTGGGAGACGGCCGCAACGTCCCCGGCCCGTTGGGCGTTTCCCGTCGGCGGGTGGCAGTCGCGAGTCAGGACACCATCTTTGCCGCACCGCGAGCAGAATTTCCTTGGTGGCCGCTTACAATCCACTCGAGTGTGTCCTCGCTGCTTACATCTCCAGCAGCACTCCTCCCGGTTGTAGGTGACGGCGGCGACTGATGGTTTGGCGGTCGTTGGGGTTCGATCCTGTCGACGGTGGTTGATTTCCTCAATCTTAGATATCCGGGTCCGGAGTTCGCTCATGGTGAGCTGATCGGTGAGCGGGACATAGAGCTGGTGTTCGGGATTCATGTTCTCGTAGATTTGTTCCAGCTGTTCTCGCTCGGAGTATCCCCCAGCTCGGCGCATCATGGTGAGAAGCGCATTGGAGTATTCGCGAAACGACTCCCCCGGCTTTTGGGAGCGTCCGTTGACTTCTCGTTTTAGTCGCCTCAGGTATCCCGGCGGCAGGTAATAATCCCGGAACTGTTCGCAGAAACTGGCCCAAGTTCCCCAGGTTTCGTGATGGTTTCGATACCACAAGAGGGCATCCCCTTTTAGCAATTCCGGTAGGCCCAAGAGTAAGTGGTCTTCTTCGAGGCCATAACTGGCTCTTAGCTCTTCAACTCTCTCTAGGAATGAGAGTGGATCCACTCCTTCGAAACGGTGGCCCCATTTCCGGATCTGGTTGATGATCTCGATGCGTTCCGTTGGACTCAAGGTGGGCATGGTTGCGGTTTCTCCTGGTACGTCACCGCAATTGTTCCTCGGGTTGTCGGACGGGTGGGCAGCGAAGTACAGGCGCAATCGGCGTCTCAGCAGGTCCACCTGGCCTGTGGTATCCACTTCGAACCGGTGGAGGTATTCTACAAGCTGTTCTTTGGAAAGGTTATTAATCCACGCAGTCATGAGGCTTTTCGCTAGCTGGACTCTCCTTAAACGGTCCCTGTTCGGGCGCCATGTATCGGTACGGCCTATCCCGTGCGCCACGGACTGGCTCGCCGGTGCCAAGATTCGGGAGTAGGTAGGAGAGTCAAGCGTACGAATCCTCTTTTAATAATCAATTTATTGGTAAATGTCTTATGCTAAACCTTATCCTACGCGATGATTATAACTACCTTATATTACGCGGGCTTAGCCTACGACGGTGCGCTAGTACTTATACTTCTAACTTAACCTACGGACGCTTACGGTTAACTTAGCCTAGACGGTCGGTCGCGGTTTCGTTCGGCGAGCGTGTCGCGATTGCGGCGTGCGGCGGTGCGCGGAGGCCGAGTGCCGGGCAAACCCAGGCGGCGGAGAGGTCAGCCCCGTCTCCGTCGGCGTGCACGGTCAGGAAGCCGAGTGCCGGGCAAACCCAGGCTGCGGAGAGGTCAGACCCGTCTCCGTCGGCGTGCGAGGTCAGGAAGCCGAGTGCCGGGCAAACCCAGGCGGCGGAGAGGTCACACCCGTCTCCGTCGGCAGGAACGGTCAGGAAGCCGAATGCCGGGCAAACCCAGGCGGCGGAGAGGTCACACCCGTCTCCGTCGGCAGGAACGGTCAGGAAGCCGAATGCCGGGCAAACCCAGGCGGCGGAGAGGTCACACCCGTCTCCGTCGGCAGGAACGGTCAGGAAGCCGAATGCCGGGCAAACCCAGGCGGCGGAGAGGTCACACCCGTCTCCGTCGGCAGGAACGGTCAGGAGTCAAGATGTCTCGGTTATTCCCTGAGATTCAGAGCTGGTCGGAAGCTGGAAAGGAATGAGGTGCCGGTCTGTCGTGCGAGCCGGCTTTTATACGGCTCGAGAGCCCCCCATGCTCGCGTGCGTCGAGGAGGGAGTAGGACGG